AAGAACTGCACGCATCTCTGTGCCTTGTTGCGTCACACTTACTCAAGCAGTGAAGTAAGCTGTTAGCGCTGCCTCCATGAGTCACGTTAAGAAAACTATGTTGTAATCAGGTGATGCATTAAGGAGAGAGTAATTACAGTTGTCCCTCGGATTGTACAAGTCATTGGCACTTTGTCAGATTCAAAAGGGTTCTGACGATGGCGTATAACACTCAGAATTATTGTTTTTTGGGGGGGCCTTTGTCCATCTTCCGGTATTAATCCTATGTGTTATTTTTCATGCGTTTAGTTTCTTGGCTAGGTTTCTTGCGTAAAATTTTCATTGCCCTTTTCATCTTAGTTTCAGGCCTGTATGTTCTTTATCGCAATTTATACTGTGCATTTTCTGTTATCTCCCCATGACGAAGTCTGGTCTCAGCTCTTTATATAGTTATACTAACAGTTGTCCTGTGATGGAGACTGAGTTTCTCTGAGGAGACACAGCAGACGGAAGCATTCATTTTCCGATAGGGTGTGTTCTCTAGTGACTGCCTCTGTGATCTAGTGGTCAGAGTTCCTGGCTACACATCCAGAGATCCCGGGATCGATTCCCGGCGCTGCTAGATTTTCTGAGAAGTAGTGCAAAAGGGTCCACTCAGCCTCGTGAGGATAATTGAAGTTTCCAGGAAATAGCGTCTCCGGTCTAGAAAAACGAGATTAACGGCTGTGGGGATCCGTTGCCCTGGCCACGTGACACCATCTATCCGCTAAAATTTGGCACTAACGTCGCCGACCAGCGGCGGTCGCTCGGTCGGCATATTTCGCTTGCGGACTACAGGCCACGGATTTTGTTTTTTTGTTGTGTTCTCTAGTTTTCAGAATAACGAGTAATGAATAAGTTCCAAAAAGTGAGCTTGGCAGTTTGTTCACGTGATGCGGCGGCTATGCGACGGCATAGGAGCTATAGCGGTGGGCTGTGGACTGGAGGGCCGGGTTTCGATTCCCAAGTAGCGACGGGACAAAGTCCGGACTGGCTCTTGGGCCCAGCCAGCCTCAATGGATATTGCGGCCTCTTTCCCCGGGGCTTAAGCAGTACCTTCATCTGACTTCAAGAATGGTGGAGCTATACCACCACTCCCCCATACATAATGTGAAGTCTTTAGAAGCAATCTTGTCTCTTGTTTTGGATGAATGCGAGACTCCACTTTCTCACACGCAGGGAAGAACACAAGTTGGGGGTATTTAAGGGCGTTGGGAGACGTAGTATCGAGGAGCCTACTTAGCTTGCGTTCGTCGCCAGATGCTACCGACAGGCTGAGATGGAAGGGACACGTAGAATAAATGATATAGAAGAGAAATGAATACAAAGTTTTGGCGGGGAGAGCTGAAAGAAAGAGACCAATAGGAAGACATAGGCGTAAGTGGAAGGTAATGTTAAAATCTGTCTTGAAGAAATGTGATTAGAGGTTTGTGGACTGGATTTATCTGGCACAGGCCAGCGACCAGTGACGGGCTCTTGTGAGCAGGCTAGTGAAACTTCGGGTTCCATAAAGTTCTGATCATTTCTCGACTCTCTAAGCGACTGTTATCTTCTTAAGAATCGCATGGGTTTCTTCAGGTTTCCAGGAAGATGCCGAGATGATATGTAAAATTGAATATTCCGTTACCTTGTCAATGGACGCTGCATAGGCCGAGCGACTGAAAGCATTGTTATGCAGCTGTAAAAATATCCTCTGAGCTGGAAAGTCGCTGGTTCGATTCCCGATGAGGTCATATGATTTTTCAATTGACCTAATCCTTCCAGCCGCACTATGGCCCTGGGGTTGACTCAGCCTCTAACAGAAATGGGTATCAGGAATTTTCATGGGGGTAAAGCGCTGCCGGTGCGTAAGGCTGACAACCCTACCGCCATCTGTGAGCCGGTTGTCTAGATAATGTGTGAGCCTCGACGTCTCACAGCCCTATGGGCCTCCACGGCCTGTTACAGGGATAGCTTTACCTTTACCTCAGGTGCATTTATGGAAACAGAGCATGCGTTATGAAGACAAGAAACATATTTTGTAAATGCAAGACTGCTTTTCATAAGTAAGGTTCGAGGTGTGTTTTAAGGCGTTGGTGTCTTAAGATTATAAAGTGTCAAATTATAGGATTATTTGTGAATAATGAAGTGGAAAGGATTTGGGAGGAAGCATCCGTGGCCTGAGGTACTTCCCCGGCTTTTCCATGGAGGGAGTGAGGAAAACCACGAAGCTCCTCTGTCAGGATGGTCGGTGTCCCAACTGAGATTCGATCCGAAACATCCCGAATACATGATTAGCGGATAGCAGGTCTGGTTTGAAAAAAAAAAGTTTTGGGGAGATGCTTTTCCAGACTTACATGAGAAATAACTGTCGCAGGTTTTATACCAGAAACAGATCGGTACATTTCTTATATATACATATTTACGGTCCACACATTTGTCAGTAGATCTATAATGACGAAGGTAGGTGAGAGAGGACGTGTGTCGAGAAACGGCAATCATAAAATGTGATTTTGCCTACTGAGCCACCGAAAGCGGTATGTTGTGTTTCTCAAAACTGACACGAGGAGCGTATGGACGGTAGCATCGTATTGCCATCTTGAGACAGCTGAGTGACTGTCGCAATGGAAATGGGGTGAGTAACTCGATTTACAAATGTAGATCATTGCCGCACGAACTTCTGGACCATATGGAGAATTGTGAAGCATGTAGAAACGCATATTTTCTAATCGTAACGGGAATGCTCAACATTGGGTAATCAAAACACGGAATATGGGCCTGCGGTGTAAATGTCTTTTCAAACCTAAATACGCTCGAGATGGGTGGAAAACCCGGTGGAATGCACAAGCATTAAACGGAAATTACTACATTAAAGACTCGCGAATTTGTTGGGGGCCGTCGTTATGGCGTCGTCCCTAAAAATATATGGGTCACGCAGTAGCGTAGTTTACTGAGGCACTATGCTACAAGCCGGAAGGTCACGGATTCGATCCCCGATGAGGTTATTGGAGTTTTCAGTTGACCTAATCCTTCCAGCCGCACTATGGCCCTGTAATCGACTGAGCTTCTAACAGAAATGAGTACTAGGAGTCTTCCTAGGGGTAAAGGGCGGCCGACCGGCGCGTAAGGCTGACCACATCACCGCCATCTGTGAGGCTATTATCTATAAAATATGGGAGCCTCGACGTCTCACAAACCTATGGGCCTCCACGGCCTGTTACAGGGATAGCTTTACCTTTTTACGGTAAAAATCGGTGTACAATATTTTGAGCTCATTCACTGTCTACTGACATATTGGCAGGAAACAGTGCAGACAGCGCGAGATTTGAAGTTGCCACCGCGCTGAATGTGACGATTCCTGAGGCAGTCCAAGTTACTTGGGCTATTGTACCAGCCCCGGATGATAAATGAGTATGGAGCATTTTGTGGAATGAGAAATCTCAGGGAACCTGCCTCCGCAAATCGCACATGACCTGACCTGGGATGGAACCCGAGGCGGGAAGCCGGCGACTAAGCGTTTGATTTATGGCACGACTTTAAAAGCGCTGTTAAATTGCATATGAAAACAAGCACTTAGTTGTAAGACCGAGAGGGCCGCCGTAACATTGCAAAGTAGTTACACTGCTTCCCACAAGATGGCGTGGATAGAAACGCCTCACCCCTGCGTTTTCCCAACACCATGCAAAAGTTTATACCGCAGTTATTAGGAAGAGTGCGAGCTTCTGGTTCTTGAAGCCGTGTAGTTGGGTAAAGTCCACAGGCGTCTGGAAAGAACGTTTTACCTCTATCTTAATTGCCGCCTGCATATTGCTGGTTTCTTGCTTGGCTTACAAATCGACCCCTGAATATGGAAGCGACAAGTGCCACCGAAACAACCTAACTGCACGGCATTACAACCAAGCAGAAAGTCTCTGAACATCGCTATAGCAAGAATTTCATAATTAGCGACGCAGTAACGTAGTTGGTTGAGGCACTATGCTACAAGCTGGAAGGTCGCGGGTTCATGTCCCGATGGGGGTCATTGGATTTTTATCAGTTGACCTTATCCTTCCAGCCGCACTATGGCCCTGGGGTCGACTCAGCCTCTAACAGAGATGAGTACCAGGAATTAATTAAATAATTTTCCTGGGGAGTAAAGCGCGCCCGGTGCGTAAGGCTGACAACCTCAGAGCCATCTGTGAGCCGATTGTCTAGAGAAAAAGTGGGAGCCTCGACGTCTCACAATGCTATGGGCTTCAGCGACCGGTTACGGAGATAACTTAGCATCATTAGGCGCCCGTACCAACTTCTGAGGTGGGATTGTGTCTTGAAGAGTGCAACGAACAAAACATACAAACTTGAACCCCAGGATCTTTACTTCCGAATTTGAGCATTACGAGTTTATTTTTCTGTGGGCCACCGAACCTCGCGGTTCGAGTGAGTGGTCAGCTTCATACCCTGGCCGCTTTACCCCCGAGGAAAGAGCCCCAGTACCTATGGAGAACATGGAGAACAGAATATTCTTCACCCTACCGGGACTCGAACTCCGACCCCTCGGTCTTCAGCCCGTAGGCAGTCGTTACGCTGGCTGAGCTATCCCGGCTCCTAAACGGTAGCCGTAAATGATAAAAAAAACTTACAACACAAATAAATGGAAAATTTAATGACATAAGCAGTTCTGATGAAAATAAATAACAAAGTATCGCTGTAGAGTCTTTTTTTAAATCTATATAAAGACACTACATGTATTCATGAATAGAAGACCCAGAAGTTGTACTTGGTTTTGAACGTAACACTGCAGTTCGTCTGAACATTGAAATGACTCATCTGCCTTTCTAAATGCCATGACTTTTTAAAGTATGGACCCAGCAGTGAACGGCAATTTTTCATATTTCGATCCGGATCAGCTGTAACCGGATTAGCGACGGTTTAGTGCAGTTTACTTACTGCAGAACCTTGGTGCCTCAGCATCTGTATTACGGGGCTCCACTGAGTTGCAGTGAACATGTCTACTCTTGTTACAGGCAAGGCGTTTGACATCACATACGTCCGCCTCTGGTTCTATTCCCCGAGGCCCGAAAGCTTTGCTATCTACAAGCGAACCAGCGAAGACGGGCCCTGGATTCCTTACCAGTTCTATAGGTGAGTGAGTGTCCATCTTTGTATTGTCTACGTACAGCATCTTGAGGCGTAGGTCGCACTTTGAGTAGGCAACCTTGCGGGACAAGAGTGCTGTGCTGATCGGGGTCTCCGGTTCCAGTGTTATGTAAAGCGTACAGCATCTTGAGGCGTAAGTCACGCTTTGAGTAGGCAACCTTGCGGAACAAGAGTGCTGTGTGCTGATCGGGGTCTCCGGTTCCAGTGTTATGTAAAGCGTACAGCATCTTGAGGCGTAAGTCACGCTTTGAGTAGCCAACCTTGCGGAGCAAGAGTGCTGTGCTGATCGGGGTCTCCGGTTCCAGTGTTATGTTGGAAGTAAACAGGCCGTGGAGGCCCATAGGGTTGTGAGACGTCGAGGCTCCCACGCTTTCTATACAGTCGACTCACAGATGGCAGTAAAGTTTCCAGCCTTACGTGTCTGCCGTCCTTTACCACCCAAGAAGATTCCTGGTACTCATTTCTGTTAGAGGCTGAGTCGACCCCAGGGCGATAGTGCGGCTGGAAGGATTAGGTCAATTGAAAAAATCCAGTGACCTCATCAGGAATCGAACACGCGATCTTCTGGCTTGTAGCGTAGTACGCTACCGTGTTCCCCTTGAGAACAGGACGCTCCACGGCCTGTTACAGGGATAGCTTTACCTTTACCTTACAATTTAACCCAGTTCTGAGACACCCACAGTCCTTGTTGAGCCCCGTTCCTGACACTCGGAGCAGCCTCTGTATGTGTGTGTCGTCTGCGCACAGTGCCACCTGCCGGGACACGTATGGACTACCTGATAGCAGTTACACCAGGAAGGGGCCCGAGGAGACCCGGGCTCTCTGCACGGCCGAGTATTCTGACATCTCCCCTCTCACGGGCGGTAACGTCGCCTTCTCCACTCTGGAGGGACGGCCGTCAGCTTACAACTTCGACGCCAGCCCCGAATTACAGGTTAGTACGTCGTTCTTGTACATGCACCACTGTGTGTGTGTTTATGTGTCTTTGTATGTATGTATTGTCACGTGTTAATGTTTAGATTGGCAATTGGTTTTGTTGTACACGTGTAACTCGTAACTGCATGTAGTTATATCATCCTCACGGATCTGCGCACTCTATAAATAACTGTACTGCGCACATATAATCTTCTGTGCCTTCACCAGTCGTTGCCTGGTAATGTTCCCAACAGTATAGATTCCTCAGCTTCCGTACTCGTGTCCTTATCGGTTGGTGACTGTCTCGCAACTCCTCAGAGTTAAGTGAGAATTAACTTTACGGCTGGCAGTTTACCACCAATCAGTTCGTCTTGCAAGTGAACCCTTGCGGTAATAGTCCTTATGTAACATCCTCTCTGACGAGAAGGTGGGTTTGTCTCTTATGAACATGCTTGGCCTTTCGTCAAGTGTATATTTCGCACATATATAACGTGTAACTGGAAATTCTTCCTTTTGCACTCACTACACACGAGGCCTCTGTCAGTCCAGGCTTTGCAAAGCAGATCTTCCCTAGCTTACTTATCTTATGCTACAACGGCAGTTTAGTCACTTGAACGGTCTTAAGCTGACCACCGCTATACCTCGTCGCAACTCCTGCCTCGACGGTTCTCGTTGTATAGCCTAGGCACGGGCTGCAGAGAACGCACTGCTAACAACAGTTGTTCTTCTATTGTCGCGGGCCGTTGCCTAGCGATGGCTCGCTTGTTTGTCAAGCCTTTTGCTGCAGAACTAACAATGTTTAAGTAATCATGTCACATTAATGTATGTGTGTATGTCTGTATGGTCATGCCATAGCAGAGGCGGTCAGACGCCGGCTTCTGTCCGCTGTGGCCCGTGTTCAGTTCCCTGGAACTCACCATTCCACCATCGCCACCCTGATGTGTGCAGTGGCCCTGACCAGGCAACACATTGTCACATCCTCGAACTTTAAATTGGGAACTTCGTCCCTGATCCGCTTCTTGGCAGGTTACAGAGGGGAGAGACATTGGCCTTGGAGCACATCCCAGGCGGGCCTGGGCACTTGCTAAGGTAACCCCGAACTGTTTGCCTTCCAGGAGTGGGTGACAGCCACTGATATACGGATCACGCTTGACAGACTCAACACTTTCGGCGACGAAGTATTCGGCGACCAGCAAGTGCTGCGATCCTATTTCTACGCAATCTCAGACTTCGCCGTGGGAGCCAGGTGAGAGTTGCATGCTAATCGTAACGGTAACTATATGTACCACCCGCTTCAGCATATAGAAACTGCGCATTCTGCCCACACAGTGTATTTATGTGTTCCATATGGTTCTCACAATAAACAGCGACTGTTTCCCCAAACAGCATTAACCGGTTGGGCTCTGTAGCGGAGACGTAATGTGTTTCCTGTGAGATACGGACTCAGTTCTTATATATAAAGTCTCTGCATTCTGCCCACACGGTGTATTTATGTGTTCCATATGGTTCTCACAATAAACAGCGACTGTTTCTCCAAACAGCATTAACCAGTTGGGCTCTGTAGCGGAGATGTGATGTGTTTCCTGTGAGGTACATACTGAATTTCTGAATATTGTTCAGCCGAATTCCATGCTTTGAAGAGAGATGCACAACTCCCAGGGTCGTGAGAGTGTAAAATAGGGTCATGAGTCCCGCGGGGTCTTTCCCATTTCCGTGCATGCAGTAGAGCAAGGGGACTCACCCATTCCCGCTGCATGCAGTAGAGCGAGGGGTCTCTCGCATTCCCATGCATGCAGTAGCGCCACTGTCTGAGCCCGCTCTCGTCCGCAGGTGCAAGTGCAACGGACACGCGTCAGAGTGCGTCGCAAGCACCGCGCTGGATGGCAACGTGCGGCGCGTGTGCCGCTGCGAGCACAACACGGCGGGGCTCGATTGCAACGAGTGTCTGCCCTTCTATAACGACGCGCCGTGGGGGCGCGCGTCAGCGCACGACGCTCATGAGTGCAGGGGTGAGTAAGTAGACGTTTCATTTTTAGTGCCCTAAGCATAATCGTCTGTTGGATAGTCTTCAGCTTAGTCGGCGTGGGTTGGCTCACCAGAGAATCGAGGGGCAGGGATGACGTCCACATCGGTTGTTGCACCCACCTAACCACCATCCAGTGGGACGCGTCGACAGTAAGGAAGTATAACTGTGAAACAAGACCGCGATGTCGTGAAGAAATGGGCGGGAAAAGGGGATGAACATGCAATTCCCCAAGAGTAATGCATCCCTTTATTTGGCTCAAGTTTAATGAAACTCTGTGAGAAGGTGCGCCGATACTTGCGCACTCAGTTGTGAACCGAATTTTTCATTTCTCATATTTCGATGTGGATTATCCATTATCCGGATTAGCAAGGGTTCACTGTACTGAGAGCATCAGAAAATAAATACATATGAACACATCTTCTGGTCATGACGCCGATTAGTCTGGTAAATTGTTAACAAAGTAATGTTTTCCTGGTATGAATGTCTGTGTGAGAACGCGCACCGTAAATGGGAGAGCTCAACGAATGCCAGGATGGTTAGTGCATAAGAAAATGGAAAGGATATGGATGGAAGTGGTCGTGGCCAAATTGAAGACATTAGCTTATAATTTTTTCGGCGGTAGAACTGAAAAGATTACGAAAAAACTCGGTAAGGGCAATAGGTGCCAAGATTTGAACGGGGACCTCCGAAAATGAAGTCAGAATGTTTACCGCTTGAAAAAAAAAGATTGATTGGAGCGTCGGATGTGAGATTAAGCTACTTTGAAATAGGCTACGGCCCATTTATTTGCGATCCATGACGCTGTATATTTGCGGATGCTAACGGCGTCATAATTAGACTTCAAAGAAATGCGAATGGTCGCGTCCGAAAGGTGTATATACTGCAAATAGAAGTACAACTTTTCTAGTGTTATAGAGCCTGGTGTTCTCTCTAATTTGGAGGGAGCACGACGTTTCGGAGGTTGCACATATCCCCCATCTTTATCTGTTTGCTGCCTCGTTCTCTGTTTGTTTCTTTGCTTTATTTATCGACCTTCAAGTTGGAGTCGAGATGTGTCTTCCGAAACTTGGGTGGCTCTCCGAGCTACACGGCATCATATCCCAGGATTCAGTAATCTTAATCTGAGCCGGTGTAGCGCAGTCGGTATAGCAACTGGCTGCGGGCTGGACGACCGAGGAGTCGGAGTTCGAGTCCCGGTAGAGACTAGAATTTTATCTTCTCCACGTTGTCCAGGCCGGATCTGAGGTTCACCGAACATCCTATATAATGGATACCGGGGCTCCTTCCCGGGGGGTAAAGCGGCCGGGACGTGAAGCGGACCATGTACCTGCAGGTAATGTGGAGAAAAGGAATGCATATAGGATATTGCTTGGAAAGCCAGAAGGAAAGAGACCACTGGGAAGACCAAGACGTATGTAAATGGACAATATTAAAATATATCTTAGAGAGATAGGAAGGGATGGTATGGACTCAGGTCCGTCATTTTCGCCTTGTTTTCGGATGTATCAGTGGCAGATGTCGGCTCCGCTGTGCTGTGATATGGAGGACGAGGCTGGGTGGACCCACAGTTTGACCATATAGGGAGCGGACTGCACGAGACGAGCTTGGCGCCTCCCTGGCGGCTCCATGTCTCGACCCTGCTCCACACGCGGCCCGCTTCTGCGCGTCGACAAGCGCAGCGGCAGTTTGTTATAACGTCATGTGGCCTGTTGGAAATTAAGCGACGTTTCGGAGGAACATACTATCTAAACGGGTCGACTATTAAGGAACAACAAAACATGGAGCAGGTAGCAAGCAGAGCTACTTGCTTGATTTATTCTTAGAACTTGAAGATGGAGGCGATATGTTCCTCCGAAACGTCGGTAGATTCTTTTAGGAGGCTACGTGCAGTTATATCAGAGATGATAGAACTCGAACTTTGTCCCTGTTCGTATAATAATCTGCAATAATAAACTTCAAACTTCTCACAGTTCGAAGTCTGGGGTCAAGGTGTATCGCTGAACTGACACGCGACTTCATATTAGCCATTGTTCCGCCCCTGGTTACAGAGAAACAGCGTCTCGAAACCTGATTTTGCTTCTGTCATCAGGTAAAAATACGAAACCTAAACTTGCGTCTGTTAGATGGAGCTAATCTCTGTCCACGTGGAAGACTATGCCAATATTTGATGTTATATCCAACATATGCTTAATTATTATAACATGAAGACATGTGGGGGAGTGGAGGTATAGCTCCACCATTCTTGATCTCGGCGCTATATGGAGGTGAGTGTTCAGGTTCACGCCTCGGCCGCTTTACCCCTGGGCAATAGCTCCTAGTACGCGTTGGGTAGGAGGCAGGATGGGCCCCAGAGCCTGGACGTTATGGAGAAGATAAAAATCTTACCCTTGCCGGGAATCAAACCCTGGCCGTCAAACCCATAGCCCGTCACTATATCGACAGGTTCCCACTCATCCCTCCCTCAAGTAGTGCCGAGGTCAAGAATACGTGGATGTATGTATCTATATCGCCATACACCTTCGTGCCATAGTGTTTAATTAGTTGAGCACAGGGCAAATTTTACCTTATATCTAACACGGAAATCTGTATTGAAACAAGAATTTGGGCAGAAAAATTAAGTAAGTGTAATATTACTTGTTGACCAGTAGGAACAGAAATGCGCGTGAAGAAAAAGGAGACTATCTTTTGGGATGTGAGACCGTGCAGTCTGATACCATCTGCATGACAGGAAGTGACCTAAACAGTTGGTGCCCATTCTTCTTGTTTCTACCCTGAAGGTGGAGGCAGTGCGCTCCGATGCGTCAGGTTCCACACGATAAAATTGTTCGTAGTCATAGGCTTCTATGAGTTCTGCATGAGGTAATACCGTGTGAGTTAGAGTCGTGCCGAGAACAGTTTAGTGATCACGTGACCATTTGTCTGTATTTGCAATGAGTCTTGAGGCTATCTTTACATTTACTTGCGTTTCCGAGTATTGGACGGACAAGAACTTATGGAGAAAACAACTTTTTTTTGTGGTTGAGGTGGAGACACGTGTGTCACTGACATCCTCTGCTTAGAGGACGCAGACCTCACTTGCCTCGGGCTGTGGCGTACTGAGAGTAAATATGTTGTGAGCTCCAAGTTTTTAAACATAAACTAATGCAATTCCCGTTCAAAATTCAGCGGAAAGTCTCCCATTTGTTACATCAGCTTTCGTACTATCAATTTCTCCTACTTTCTACTGTATTCCTTCCCGTTCTTGCATGTTACCAAATGTCGCGTCGAGGCCATCTTTCGACTGCGTCTCCCACGAATAACACTCACAGATAGTAAATGATAGACTGTCTACTTTGTGTAGCATGCAACTCGTCACACATCCATATCAGAATGCTGTTATCAGTACTCACAGTGTGCGCGCGATACTTCACTACGTGACTGACGTTTACAATCGACAATTCCTTGCTATCTTAACCTGAAATTGACGTTTCGGAGATTTCATCTCATCGTTACATTACTTATTTCTATATGTAGAAGGATACTACATCTGTACTGTGCAGTGTTTTCGGTAAATAGAACGTACTGCAGCTTTCTAAAGCACAGGGTTTGGTAGTTGCAGCGCGTGTTTCAGTATGCCGAAACACAGACGGTGGAGCGAGGGATAGGATAAGCAAGCCACCTCCCCTGGGCCTCACGATTTTAGGGGCGCCACATTTATTAAGCTTTTTTTTTTATTTTAGTTTTGTTAAATGAAAATTGGGGGCACGCGGTAGCGTAGTTGGTTGAGGCACTATGCTACAAGCCGGTCGCGGGCTCAATTCCCGATGAGGTCATTGGACTTTTTCAGTTGGCCTAATCCTTCCAGCCGCACTATGGCCCTGGGGCCGACGCAGCCTCTAATAGAAATGAGTACCAGGAATTTTCCTGGGGGTATAGGGCGACCGGCGCGTAGGGCTGACAACCTCACCGCCATCTGTGAGCCGATTGTCTAGAAAATGAGGGAACCTCAACGTCTCACAACCCTATGGGCCTCCACGGCCTGTTACAAGGATAGCTTTACTTTTACTTAAATGAAAATTATTTTCTGATACTGTCTTAGTCATAGAAGGAAAAACTATCCATGTAACAGACCATGGAGACTCATAGGGTTGTGAGACGTCGAGGCTCCCACATTTCCTAGACAATCGGCTCACAGATGGACGTGAAGTTGTCAGCCTTACGCGCCGGCCGCCCTTTACCCCCAGGAATATTCCTTGTACTCATTTCTATTAGAGGCTGAGTCGACCCCAGGGCCATAGTGCGGCTGGAAGGATTAGGTCAACTGAAAATTCCAATGATCTCAACGGGAATCGAACGCGCGACCTTCCGGCTACAAGAATAGTGCCTCAACCAACTACGCCATTGCGTGTTTTATTCATGTAGTGGCCATTAATTTGAATGTATCCACACGTGCTCAACAAGCATATTGGTGCAGTGATAATGCACTAAATTTGTATTAGGGAGGTATTCGGTTCGAGTCTCGGCCGGAACTCCGGGTATCCTATATGGAGGCTTTCGTGGTACTCCTCAGTACCCCCGTGGTCATACTCTGATAGGCGACGAGCGCCCTCAGATCCTTTCCAGTTCGTCACCAGTCATTCCACCATGTCAAGCATACTGGGGGGTGGAGTCCAGTTGGGTCCACTCGGCACGGCGGCCACTGATTGGCCTATTGTACCTTCCCCGGGTGAATATGATGATGGAGAATTTGGTGGAATGAAGATTGGCATGAGAAACCGAAGTACTCGGAGAAAACCTGCTCCAGCGCCACTCTGTCCACCACAAATCCCACTTGACCAGGCCCGGGCTCGAACCCGGGCCGCCGCGGTGGGGATCCAACGACTAACCGCATGAGCTATGGCGCAGTCACACCATGTCTAGTTACTGGCAGCCTCGTGGAATAATCCAGACAAAAATAATATTCTACAGCGCAAATGAAACGTCTTGCGTTGTTTATGGGGCTAA